TATACATAATAAGTAAATAAATCTTTAAAAAAAAAAAAAAAAAAGAAAGGTCTAGTTTTCTCCTTGTCCTAGAGGAGGAGCTGAGACTCCGAGGCTGGGCTCGCTAGTGTCCTGGTCACCTTTCTTTTAGAGCTCTCATAGGTACTGCTGGGGTACAGGGAGAAGAGAAGGTCTCCCCAGGAAAGGAAGGAGCAGAAAGTATCCTGGAGAGGTCCCCTCAGTGTCCGACAACACCTCTATAGAGAAGCCTCCCCCCCCCCCCAATACGGCAAATAGCAGGGTCATCATCCCGACTGGACACCAGAGGCGTTACCCGTGGTCCTCTTCTCTGACCTCCCCGGTGTCACCAGCCCTCACTGCTTCCTGCCTCACAGATGCCCCTGCCTAAGCTCAGGTCTCTTCATCTCTCTTGATAGTCTCGGGCGTTCCTTCTAGTACTTTCTTCTGTTCACTCTACCTTCTGGCAAAAGTGATCCTGAAAACGGAAGTCCTCACTAGAAACCCCCCCCCCCAGAGCCCTGGCCCACTAACTCTTCAGGGCTTCTTACTTGTATGGTATCTGCAAGCTCTGAGCATACATATCTTCAAACTTCTGCTCCCGAGTCAAAGAGACAACAGTGCGGAAGTTCTCTATGGCTTCAGTAGCGATCTGTAAAAGTTCATCCAATACCAGGCACAAAGTCAAACACAGGAAATAAATTCTACAACTAATAGTGTTAACCTATTATAATGTATCTCTTATGTACCATTTATTGATAGCTATCTTCCATATGAAAAAAATGGTGACTCATGAAACTGAATTTTACATTTTTAAGAAAGAAAAGAGGTTTTGTGAATCAGTAATAATATTATAAAACATTATAGCTATGGCTGGGGAGATGGCTCAGTGGGTAGGGATGCCTGCTCTCCTTCAGGACCTGAGTTCGAATTACCACCACACACATAAAAAAACACAACAAGGTCATGCATGCCTGTAACCTCAGTGCTGGGGCACAGAGTTTGCAGTGTGAAGACAGTAGTGGCTGCACAGCGCAGTCTTCTCATCCGGATGCACAGTGAGGCAATTAGGAAACGCCTGAAGAAGCAGCCATGTCCTGTCCTCACAACTTCAATAGAGACCCCATCATCACTAGCAAGAAGGAAGTTAAAGTTCAAAGAAGAGTAAACAGCAGCTTCCTTTGAAGGAGTGGTTTACTGAGTTGTTTTGAAGACAGGAAAATGTGTGTCTCAGAAACAAACTTGTGCTTCTCTTTCTCCCCCAAATAGACTGAGGTTAAATTTGAATTCCATATTAAAATGATAAATGTGTATATTACACAAAACTGCTCAGTATCCCATGTAAATGAATTAGAACAATATCAAACCCTAGTCATAGGCACAGTGGAGCTTATCTGCATGTTCTGACATCGCACCAGAAAGACAGGCTATGAGTGGGGTCTCCCATTACCCTAATCTGCTCCATGATCCTACACACGTGCACTGCCAAGTGCATGGCATCGATTCCTCAGTCAGGGCCAGTATTGAGTCAGACCACAGCCAGACCCCAAGATTTGCTAGTTCCCCATGACAGACTGATGGGACCTCTCCAAAGGGTGAACTCCATAGACCCTGGCTGGAAAAGACTAAAGCTAGTCTGAGCATTTCCATGAAAGAACCGATGAAAATAGAGCAACAGGTCTCAACATGCAGAGAAACCAAGTGTCTTTAGTGTCTCTGGGACCTTCCTCACCTCTCCCATCAGAGGGATGCCTGGCTCACAGGCACCTGGTCTGGACACCACAGGCCTCTCACCTGCCTGAACTCCTGCTCTGTTTCTTGGTACCTGGAATGCCAGGGGTCAATCCTGTTCTGACCTCTCGTTTCTGCAGAGGGCATCTCACTATGCTCCACCATAACAGAACTTGGATTTCTAGCTAATAGGTGCACCAATGTTTGAGTTTGAATCCTAGTTCCAGGAGGGACTGGCTCTAAGGAAGCGTGTGCTGTGTGTGTGTCCCTCAGCCTCACCTGAAAAATGAGGTAATAACAGAATATATCTGACAGAGTCTATGGAAGGAGTAAAACATTTTCCAGGTAACCAAGTGAATGACACACAAATCTTTGTTGAGCTATGAAAAATAAAATAGCTGGGTGTGCAGAACAACAGGATGAGGGGAAAGAACACAGACGTGAGACCAAGGGAGGACGTACGATAAAGAAGAAAACGAGGGTGGCAAAGGAGCTGGGCTGTTTGCGGAGAGAGCAGCTCTGGGGCCAGAGCAGGGATATAACATGGTATGAGGTTCCGGAGGAATTCCGAACTAACTATATTAAATAATCTAATGGAGAGAACAAATACACTTGGGACTTCTCCACTTTGAATCTCCCCAGTCATTCAGAATACAAGGATAGTTTTAAGCCTGGTTGAGAGGAAGACAGAAGAATAGAGGGGAACGTGGGAGGACTAATTTATGTCAACTTGACACAAGCCGGAGTGATCTGAGAGGCAGCCTCAGCCTCAGAGAAAAGCCTCCATACGACTGGACTGTAGGCAGGCTTGGGAGGCATCTTCTTAATTACTGATTGACAGGGGAAGCCCAGCCCATGGTGCCTCCATAGGCTGATGTGTCCTGGGTTCTATAAGAAAGCAGGCTGAACAAGCCACAAAGAAGCAAGCCAGTAAGAAGCACCCCTCCATGGCTTCTGCATCAGTTCCTACCTCCAGGGTCCTCCTTTGGTTGAGTTCCTGCTCTCAGTGCTTTTGATAATGAACTGTGAGTAAAAATAAATCCTTTCCTACCCAAACCGCTTTGGTCATGAACGTTTCGTCGCAGCAATAGAAACACTAGCTAAGAGAGAGAGAGGAAAGAGGTGGGAAAAAATGATATAAAGAAGAAAAGGAGTGGACGAGAAGGGAGGAATATGAAGACAAGACACTGGACTCTGGCTTCAAACAAACAAAACCCTGAAAAGCAAGTGTCAGGATTTGGAACTAAGGATATGCTTCTAACTGTTCTTCAAATTGTAATCTTGAGATAAGTATAATAAATGTTGTCCAAATGGTAGCTATTAAAATACTGTCGTAGACTGAGGAGATGGCTCTGTTGGTAAAGAACTTGCCTGGCAAACACAAAGACCTGAGTGTGACCTCTAGAACTTGGGTTAAAAACATCTCAGCTATGCATGGTGGCATATGCTTGTAATCCTGGTGCAGGAGGCATAGGGGTGGTCGGAGAGACCCTATCTCCAACAGCGAGAGACCATATCTCAAAATGCAAAGTGGTCCATACCTGGGAAAGAATGCCCAGGGTGTCTCTGATCTCCACACAACATGCACATACATGTTCACCCACAGGAACCCCCCCCCCCACAGACATTGTTAGAGCATACTAGCAGAGAGTAACTAAACATCACTGGAAAGAATGTTATTTCTACTTAGGTAATCAATCATACTTAGTTTAACTGACCTTCCCAGAACCTTCTAGTTCCTTCTTATCTTTCAGTGCTTGTCCGGACAACATTTTCATCTCCACCACTCCTGCTATGGCAATGATGGGTACAATTGCTAAGAGCAAAAGAGTCAACTGCCAGCCATAGATCAGGGATATAATAATTCCTGTGCCAAGATTTGCTATGTTCTGGGTAATGATAGCGAGTCTGGATCCTGTAGCCTGAAAAAGAAGAGAAAATTAGGGACACGTTTTATATTCTAAAATATGTTCTAGTACATTTTTAAGGATAGTAACTCATCTTCATGAAAATCATCTCACCTATGAAATAAAAGGAGAGATGATGTACTTGTAGGAAGGTTTTGGTTTCTAGAATGAAGATTTCCATGATTTAAGAATACTGAATGTAGAGCGATAATTCAAAATGCAAGTGCATATTTCTATCTATTTTAATCTTTCAGTACCACGAAAATGTTTCTGTACCAAAGCATGATGACTAAAGCAAACCCAGCAATGAGAATGGTAAGAGTCTGGCAATTCTGTTAAACTGGTGGTAGGTATAGCTTAGGTATAAAACTGCTTATAATTTAAGGAAGGTATGTGTCAATAAAGGTGTTCAAATATATTTGGGCCTATTTTTTTCCTTTTGTTTTTGTTTTGTTTTGTTTTCGTGACAGGGTTTCTCTGTGCAGTCCTGGCTGTCCTGGAAGTCAATCTGTAGACCAGGCTGGTCTATGCACTCAGAGATCCATCTGACTCTTATTTGGGCCTGTTTGGAACACTTATTTTCTTGGGGGGAAAATGAACATTTGAAAGTTAGAAACCATGGTTTAGAGGACGCAGGACGTTTGGTAGAAGGCGGGAAGGGTCATGATGAATGGCTTTCACAACTATATAGCGGTTTCCAACTCTAAACCAGCAGTTAATCTAGTCAGGTAAGCACAAGTGCAAGTGGTGAAGTCTGTATCTACTCTACTTGGAAGTTCTCTGGTGACACATACAGTCTCACGTCCCTGCTTCCACACCCAGTTTCTCTGCAAATAGCACACATCCTTTACCAGTCCTAATTTTTTTTTCACTTCAGCATGGCTGACTAGTCTCAGTAAAGACTGTGAGGTGTCCTCTAGCCTGGCCATTGGCCCTCTCTGTCACTTTTGACAAATCTCTTCCAACTCCAAAACTGAGCAGATTCTTTGATTAATAACCACAGCCTCTCCTCCATTCTGTATTCTGGCACCACCCTTCCCCTTCATTTAATACCTACCTGACATAATCAGTAGATGGGACTACAACTCCCATGAGCGTTTATAAATTTTTAGTAGGAAATGGAAAGCGGGCTGAAAGTGACAGCATGCATAACCCAGCATAACCCAGCATCTACAATCCCACACAGAAGCTACTGAAGGGCTGAAGTACTCAGAACATCGACCCTGGACTCGGCAGAGACAATAGAGACAGTTCCCTGGGCTTGTAAGTTTTTAGGCACATGCAGGCCTTGCTTTGGAATATACATACACACACACACACACACACACACACACACACACACACACACAAATCAAGATAGTTCCAGAGATGATAAATTCCTTGATGTCTAGGCAAAGTGAACTAAATGTTTTCATCAAACAATTTTGACAATTTAAAGTATACAAAAAGTAGAAAGTAAACTTTTAATGTCTTCCTCTGTTAACCCATGGCTCTTTCATAATTTGCCCAAAGTCTTCCAGCCATATGTCCAGCTGTGATCATTATCTTTGCCTTTCTCTGAAGACCGGCCTATCAGGCTCTACTCCCACCATGCCTGTCAGTCCTTGGGTCAAGCAGCAGTTGCCCCATGCTGCACTCAGCCGTCTACCGCCTGTCAGCTCTCTCCTTACCACACTGTCTTGGTTTCACTTCCAGAACACCTATCTTATCTTCTCTTTTTGTTTTTGTTTTCTGAGACAGGGTTTCTTTGTGTAGCCCTGTCTGTCCTGTAACTCGCTCTGTAAACCAAGTTGGCCTCAAACTCTGAGATCCTCCTGCCTCTTCCTTCCCTAGTGTTGGATTAAGGTGTGTACCACCACCACCAGTGACATAATTCTTCTACATCCTTGTGTCCTGATAGTCTCTGCTCATGTTCAAGTCCCTGACTTAAGAACGCAAGACTTGCTCTTCACATGAATTATTTGCCATCTCTTCATGTCTTTAAAAGCTATCATCTCACTGGAAAACAATCTCCAAGTGAGTATTGACAGACCAGACTTCTCTGCTAAACTCTAGACACACAAAATGTCCTGTCTTATTGACATGTCCAATTGGCCATCCAATGTGAACATCACAACTAATCAAGTCACACATAAACCTCTATTTTTCCCCAATCCTCATGCTCTAATTTCTTTAAAGAACAACTTTGTGGGTTTTTTTTTTTCAGTTGTGTAGGTCAAACATTTTACCTCTCGAATCCATCATCCAATCTAATCAACAAATTCTGTAGGTTGTACCTTTAAAATATATCTGGAATCAGCTACGACCACTCTAGGAGACTTCTCCTAGATGACCTCAATAGCTTCTCTCTTCCTCTTCTTGTCTCCTGTGGCTGTTAGTCGCACGACAGCCACATAACTCCCACTTTTAAAACTTAACCAGTGCCTTCTTATCCAATTCCTGATGTGATGCTGACCACAAACTAGGGCTCTTCCTCACACTTCCATCTGGTGTTTTTATGCTGTGAGATGTAGGAGGTCTAACCTCAGGTCCTTTATCCTTTCTCTTCTGATTGCAATGCTCTTTTAGAGGTAGGAATGCTTCCTTTCTTCCTTGCTTGATTATACCACATCACTGAAGGCTTTCTTCCTTAAATGAGGCTGCCTTTGGTCCTATAGCCTCCCTCCAACCGGTACCAAGTTACCTTTTGATAATATGACCTAATGGGTAGATTCTTCAAGAGCAAAACAATTGTCTGTTTAAGGAAGTTTTAAATTCACTCAGTGTCCAGTTTGTTTTCTTAAGTGTATACACCTGTATCTATAGCATGGCTTTGTCAGTTGTTTGCTTTAAGTGAAAACAGCTGCATAGAACAGTAATTCTTACGATTTGTGCTGCAGTTCCACAGTTATGTGTGCTTTCAAATATCATATTCAGTTTCAAATGGGACCTGCAATTAGGTCCCATCTATTAGACAGAGGAATCTGTATAGTTCTGTTTTTCAGGAAGGCTGAAACAAAAGGGGGACAGGGCTCAAGCCAGATTCACACAGTGGAGATCAACACATTGTCAAAGACTTTTGCATGAAAACTGTAGCTGGAGGAGAACCTGTCACTTCATCCAACAATCAAAACCTGATTGCTCAAAAGTTTGTGTTTTCATCTACTGGGGCCTGAGTTAACAGCACATTTTCAGGTCTATAGTTTGCTCAGGTTTCTTTCTGTCCATGCTAGTTTTAAAGTGCTTTACATGTTCTGTGATGGATTTTCAGAAATTTTTTTGTTTCCTACTGAACTGTAATGTCCCCTAAGCTTAAGATAACAGCTACACTATCCTCCCAACATCAATTCAGCTATTAATGGAGCATAGAAAACAGAGATCCTGGTGGGAATGCCAAGAATATTTCCTTCCCTAAGTAACTATTCTCTAGTATTTATCTTCTGCATGTTAGGACTGTCACAAGCATAAAAGAAAACTTACGTCTCTCTACACACTATATGCTGTATCATCTATACACTGTATGGTATATGATCTATACACTATATAGTATATGATCATCTATACACTATACAGTATATAATCTATACACGATGTGACATATAATCTATACACTATTTGGTATATGATCTATACACTATATGGCATATGATCTATAAACTATATGGTATATAATCTACACACTATATGGTATATGATCTATACACTATATGCATACGATCCACACACTATACATATATAATCTTTACACTATATGGTATATGATCTATACACTATATGGCATATGATCTATAAACTATATGGTATATAATCTACACACTATATGGCATATAATCTATATATTGTATGGTATGTGATCTATACAATATATGGTGTATAATCTTTGCACTATATGGTATTCAATCTATATACTATATGGCACATCATCTTTACGCTATATGGTGTATAATCGATATGCTATATGGGATATAATCTACACACTATATGGTATATAATCTATTTACTATACAGTATATAATCTATACACTATACGGCTTATAATCTTTACACTATATAGTATATAATCTATACACTATATGGTATATAATTTTTGAATTTTAACATATTTACTGTAAAGAAATTGATATATTTGTAGGATAGAACTTTTGGGGGTTTGAATGAGAAATGTCACCCAAAGGCTCAGGCATTTTAACACTTGATCCCCAGCTAGTGGCACTTGAAAGGTTTTTACACCTGATAAATCTCACTGCCAGACACAATAATCCAAATGAGACCAGATCAAACCAAATTAGAAAAACCCCATGTTTAATGGATGTCGGCCCTCCCAGGTGGCCTACTAGTCCCCAGAGAGGAGACGGAAAGAAAGACAGGAAAACCACAGAGAGGGAAAAGGAAAACTGGAAGGCCACGTGTTTGTTCTCTGGGGGACAGTTTATATAGCCTGTGGGAGTGGTCCTCACCCTCTCTGCGGAGGGGTCACTGTTGGGCTTTCTCAGAGGTAGAGTCTGGACTGAGGCAACTCCCAGAGGAGGAGGCTGCAATGGAACTTTTTTTTTTTTACCAAATATTTCAGACTCCTTGGATATAGAGGTGCCCAGGGGCTAGGGTGAAGCCTGGACGCAAACATTCCAAACATTTCGGGTATAACGATGTTAGGGGCTGAGGTGATGCTTCCAACCAAACGGTATTGTTGAGAGAGCATTATGGGAGGGAAGCACAGCCTTCCTGTATGAAGTTTATCACTGGAGGGGGGCTATGAGAGTTTAAATCCTCCTACCAGTTCTAGGTCACTGTCTCTGCTTGTGTCTGCAGTTAAAGATGTGATCCCCCAAGTCCTGTTCCTGCTGCCATGCCTGCCACTTGCTGTCACCCTTCTCTGCCATGATTTACTGTTATCCCCCTGGAACTTTAAATCCAAATACACTCCTCCTTCTATAAGTTGGTTTTAGTAATGGTGTTTTACCACAGCAATAGCAAAGTAATTAATACAAATATCTAGTAACAGTATCTTAACATGGTTACCAGGAAGCCAGTCTCATGCTAAGCCTAAAATAGCATCAAGAGGAACACCCACAGAAAGAAAGTACGCACCCCTTTAACTTGAGCCGCGTCATTGGCGAGCCTGGTGGTCAGCGCTCCAGTGGTGTTTTTAGGATTATCAAACCAGCTCACATCCTGTGACACAAAGAGATTTGCAATCTTAAAGTCCTACTTATGAGACTTGAGCTCTAGGAGGAAGGTGACAGGACCCTTTTGGTTAGCATTCATATCCTCTTCATTCGGCATTCAGGATGGAACAGTAAATAGACAAGAAAGGGATTTAAAAAACAAACAAAAATAGGTTATTCCATCTGCCCAAAGTATGTCTTAGTCTCAACGTTGTTTAAAGCCTGACTCTAAGTGTTGAACAATGAACACTAACGGCAAAGTTGCTGGTGTCTTCAATACTTCCTTCTAGAACTGGAAGGCACACAGAAATAAGCGTACACCATCTCAGACAGTAATGAACAAGGTGGAGAAAAAGAACGGGGTGAGAAAGGTGCTGCTTTACAGAGTAGGGAAGAGACAGGGAAGTTCTTTCCAAAACCATGGACAGAGACCATAATGAAGGAAGGGATAAAAGCATCTAAGAGGAGGAAGATTCAACACTTGCAAAGGCCTTGAGGCCGAGGCATTCTTGATCTGCTCCCACAAGTGAATCTCATCCTGCGAGTAGTCTAATTTGTCCTGCTGGGATTCCCCTCAGTCTCTCCTCCCCAACCTTTGTGCAGTTACCTATGGTGCCCTGAAGATGACCTCTGTGATGTGGGTGGGGGATGCATACCATGCATGGCCTTTGGCAACTGTAGAGACCATATAGAGACTCTCCCCTGAAAGAACCCAGGCTACCTCTAGACTGGGATGAGGAAGGAGTTAACGAAACCAACTAGGAGGCTGATGCAGCATTACACAAAGAGGAGAGTCATCAGGAGTTGGGTCAGAACAACTGGCAGAGAGACATAAAGAGTAAGGAGGTATGGCACTGGGTGTTGGTGGCACACGCCTTTAATCCCAACACTCTGGAGGCAGAGGCAGGTGAATCTCTGTACAAGGCCAGCCTGGTTTATAGACTGAGTTCCAGAACAGCCAGGACTACACAGAGAAACGATGTCTTGAGAAAGAGAGAGAGAGAGAGAGAGAGAGAGAAGACATGAAGTAGTAAGCCTTTCAGGGTAAAAAGAATAAAAAGTACAAGTTGGGAAATATTTAAGTGTGAAGCATTTATTAGTATCAGAAGAGGAAAGGTAAACCTGATAGGTATCACTAGTCAGGGCAGAATACATCAACTGAATTAAAAACAAATCAAAAGCAATCTAGGTTTTTTTTTTTTTTCGAGACAGGGTTTCTCTGTGGTTTTGGAGCCTGTCCTGGAACTAGCTCTTGTAGACCAGGCTGGTCTTGAACTCACAAAGATCCGCCTGCCTCTGCCTCCTGAGTGCTGGGATTAAAGGCGTGCGCCACCACTGCCCGGCTGCAATCTAGGTTTTAAAATGCACATACAACATGAAAAGGGATTTTATTTGTAAAACGTCATAGATTTTCATTTTTTAGATTTATGAATGACTGATTGTATGTCACGAACTTGCCACGACACATGTATGGAGGTCAGAGGACAGTTTATGGGAGTTGGTTCTGTCCTTCCAAATCACGTGGGCTGTGGGGATCAAATTCAGGTCAAGCACCTTTTTAATGGCTAAGCTTTCTCACATCCTATATATTTTAAAATAAAAACATTGTGATCTTCAATTATGAATTTATGTCTGTTACAAATAGCTTTAGTTTCTAAGATGTTACCTGAATTGGCAATTTGTATTAAGGAAGTTACTACCTTTTAATTTTGAAAACCTAGAAAATGGCCCATTATAGTCTCTATCAACTGACTTTTTAGTACTCAGGTACTTAAGCGTTCCTCCAATGGCATGTGACATCCTTGAAGAAAGAGGCCATTCAGATTTGAACGCCTTGCAAAATTTAGTACCGTACTTCATAAGCAGCGGCTGTGATATGCCTGCTCCTCTGAGCAGTCTGTACTGTTCCTACACACCAGCCGCTCAGCTCTCAACACATAATGAACCTGCCAGACAGCTGGCCTGAAGGCTCATGGGGTAATAGGGCATCGGGTGCTGTAGCGAGGTCAGCTTTGAGATTGTTTAAGTAGAATCTAGGTTATAAATACAGCTTGAAAGCTTGTGATTCCAGAACTTGGGAGATGGAGTTCAATATTATGCTCAGCTACGTTGTGAGTTTGAGGCAAATTTTGAAAAAAAAAAAATGAGAGGATATATATGACCTGACAGAAGAGTCCAGGGGAGGGACTCCCATAAAACGGTGCTCTCTCACCCATCAGATTCTGCTTCAGCTGTGACTATCACTAGCTAGCTATTTGAATAAAGACTTATTTCTAGAAATACGTAAGTGGTTGCAGATGAGGTGAAAAAGACTGTCTTCTAGAAAGTTGAACACACAAAAAAAAAAAACTGGCATTTTTCACTCTTGGTTTCTTTCTTTCTCTCTTTCTTTCTTTCTTTCTTTCTTTCTTTCATTTTTCTAGTGCTGGGGACTGAGTGAGCATGACGGATTCAGGTTCAACCTCTGTGTTACATTTTAGTCTCATGGGATGGCTTGTGGATATATCCAGTCTATAGCCCACGAGTCTCATGCATCTTAGGATGCTATTAATGTGGTCCAACAAGTTTGTAGATAACAATGCCACATTTTAGTGTAAAAATGTTGGACACCTTTGTATCAAGAGCATCATTTTATGGAGGTAACCAGTCATTTTGAACATATAACATTTTCATGATGGCTAAGTTTTGAAAGGGACTGGTAACAATATTGTCGGTTGTTGGGGAACTGAATGTACAGAGCAACAGGCACTCATAGTAAGTCATAACCAGCTAATAACAGTGTAACTCACTCGGGTTATTCTTCTGTCTTGCCTCAGCAAAGAATCTCAACAGAGAGGAATGGGCCCTGAAAATGAATCCAAATTTGGGCAAGAGGAGTGCAAACTATCTCCAGGTTCAGAGAGTCATGACAGGATGTTCTGAGTGTGCAGGAAAGAGAAGGTGGCAGAGGGCACAAAGCATAGAAGATCCTTCCTTACACTTCTCAGCCTTCGGGCTAAGACAAGGTAGAGAGGACCATCTTGACTCCTGCTGCCTCTCACTGCTGAGATAAGAGCTGATGGAGAGTTATTAGGAGACACAATAGTCTCAACTCCTGGTTCCTTGTGCCCGCCTGCACCAAGCTGCAGCTCCACAGCCTGCATCTGCAAATGGCTCAACAGCACCTCCAGAGGAGGCTGAGGGAGACCCGTGTAGGATCTCTACCTAAGGAACTTGACAGCGCTCCTACAATCTGTGTCCATGGAGCACAAGAGAGAATTCCTACTCCCCCGACCCCAGGGTGCAAGCCACAGCAGCCATACCTGTCTCAGCATGGACTTGAAAACGTGGTATCGGAGTCGCTTGGTGAGGATCTCTCCAGCTTTGCCAAACGTGAAGCCCTAAGAAGAATGAGAAGGCGTCACACAGAAGGCTGGCCAAATACACAGCGGGAATCAAGGCCTGTGAGAGTGTGGAGCAGGATGGGACCCAGTCTGAGCTCCTGTCCTCACTCAGCTCCCTGCCTGTCTCTCAGATGACCAGCTGGGCTGTATTTACACGTCGGAAGTCCGCAGATCCTCTGCCTACTCTTAATGTGTTTGCAGTCATGGGAGACAGTCTCAGCACCATAGCCAGAGTGGAGGGAGCTGCTTTCTCTCCCTGTATTTCACCATCCCAATCGTCAAAGCAGAAGTGACCAACTTAAAGCTGCCTCACTTCCAATCTCTTGATGGAGCAACTGTTCATTTTTACACACCTGCGACCCTCTTACCGGCTATGTCATTCTACCAAGGTCAAGTTTCACAATGAAGCTCTTAAGTATTTGGTGAAGGAATACTATTTTTCTTTTGTATTCCTATGTTAAGAACAATGTTTTTTTTCTGTTAAAATAGTAATATATCAGAATGAATTAAATAAAGAAACTTGTTTAGTTTCAGCTGAGCTTATTTTACATGTGTGTTGTTAAAATACTAATATAAGCCAGGTGGTGCTGGTGCACACATTTAACCCCAGCACTTGAGGCAGAGGTAAGTAGACCTCTGTGAATTCAAGGCCAGCGTGGTCTACAGAGGAAGTTCCAGGACAGCTAGGTCTGTTACACAGAGAAACCTTGTCTCAAAAAACCAAAAGCAACCAGCCAAACAAAACCCCCAAAACCCTAATATATACTTAGAATGCGTTTATAAAGAAATCTATTTAGTTTCAGCTAAAAATATACATGTGGACTAATTACTGATGCATTAAGTGATTATTTACATTTTTACTTAATAAGTAGTAACATATTATCTCAAACCAATCTGAGCACTTGGTCACATGAGTTCTCTTAGTTATCAAGAGGCAACATTGCCCCCTTTACAGGTAAGGAAACAGAGGCTTAGACAGTCTAAATTACTAGACTGTGTTTATGTGTAAAACATGTCTGTAAACCTGTATCTAACACCAAAGTCCATACTTCATGCTTTTCCACGATACACTCCAAGAGCAATTTGGTTCATTCACAATTGTATTTGAGCCAAAGGGTCTACAGGCTGCAAAATACCTTGTATGCATTTCTTAGGATTTTTCCATTCTGTGCTTGCGTTTTCCTTTTGTGAGTTTGATAAGCTTTGGAAACAGTTTTAAATCAGTGTGACCAGCTTGGGGAGCTTCATTTGTTTCTTTGTTTGTTTTGGAATACAGGAAGACATTTTTCCAGCTATTCAAACTGACCAGCAGAATGTACTTAATGAACTTCCAAACTCATATTCTGGGCGTACCCCAAAGTCTGTACTTGGGTCCTCACCTTCCATTTGCATACTAGACAGAAGAACCTGTGCAATATATTACATCACTGCTTCCATGTGGAGCATGGTTGTTTGGGAAAGAGCACGTGAGGGTGCAGTCAAAGGAAAGACAACCTGGCAATCATTGGCCATGGTAAAAGAGGAATAATCTTATGGTAAGGACAATTCATGTCTCTAAACACGAGTGGATGAAGTGAGAATAACACACTTACCTGAAGAAAAAATGTAATAAAAGAAATGATCCCAAGGACCAGAAACAATAAGGAAAATAAGTTGCTTTCCTGCCGTTTGGTTTCATCATCATTCGGTTTTGTAAAAACCTGTAAAAAGTATTTGAAGGGTGGTTAGTGCCACACTGAGAAGGCATTCCACATCTGCCCCCATTTTACAGATCGTTCAGTGTAGGAGCTGGGACAGTCTTTGGACACTGGGATAGTGCCGGCTTCTGACATAAAGCAGCCTCCAGCGCACCTGCACTCTGCCTTTGTTGGGGGTAGGCTGCCATTCACAAATTCACCCAGCAGTCTTTGCACTCGTGTTCCTCTTAGAGAAACGGGTGCTTTGTAAGAAGACATCAAGCCCATACTCCCCTCCTGACTTTCCTGTAACAGATTGTATGTAAGTCATGTCTGTCAGGGTGAGCAGCTGTGTATGGAGGATGAGGGTCAAGCTGGTACATGGCTGCTGAGGATTTTCCACTCTGTGTTTCAGATTTCTTTATTTTATTTTTCTGTGCATGCGTTTTTGTCTGCATGTATGTATGTGCACCATGTGTGTGCCTGGATCCCATGGAGATCAGAAGAGGGTTCAGATCCCCTTGAACTGGAGTCACAGATGATTGTGAACCACCAGGTGAGCATTGGGAACTGTGGGCCCTTTGGAAGAGGGGTCATGGCTCCTAACCAAATCTCCAGACCCTCCACATTGTTTTGTAAGATGGTGTTTCTCACTGGACTAGAATGGGCTACAATGACTGGCCTGTTTGTGCTGGGATCCTCTTGTCTCCCAGCACTGAAATCCAAGAGTGTGCATCACTGCCCCTGGCCTTGATGTTGGGGCTGGGGAGCAAACACAGGTCTGTGTGGTTGCACAGCAAGTGTTTGACTGAGTCATCTCTATATCTGGAGAGAATATATTTATGTGTTCGTGCTAATGAAAGGGTGGCATCTATCCATTCAGCCTTTCAGGGAGAAAGGTGCCTTTCCCAGTGTATCTTGTAGGAGTTATAGTCACAAAGTCAGGTGGCAGTGGCAGCCAACGGAAACCTTTCAAGAGATGGTTAGAAGTGCAAAACAGATGTTTGGAGCTGAAAGCATTTATAGCACGATCACTCAACAAGGAAAGAAAATATGCCTTTCCTTCTAAGGGTCAAGTCAGTTTTTTGAGAGCAACATTCCTAAACCAATTCAGAAAACTTTATGCATATTTAAAAAAAAAAGGACAAAATAATTTTGGAAGACATTAACTCAATTATTCTTGATTAGTCGTTCAGACATTGCACTATGCTAGGCACAGTACTGATCCTTCCAACTGGGGGCATCTGTTATATTACTTTCACCATTTTACAGAGAGAAAGTGAAGCAGAGACATATATTAACTCACTCAAGAGAGCCAGGAAGAGATGAGCCAAGCACAGACACCCAGGCCTTCTGACCCAGAGCCTACTGTTCGCAGTGAGACAGATGGCTGCCTGCCTAGCTACTGTCCTGGAGCTAATGTGCTGGCCATCAGTCACCAGATAGATCTCTGCGGGAAGAATGAGGAAACCCAAGCACCACTGTTGGTTGCTTTTTTTGGGTTGTTCTGTTTCGTTTGTCAAAAACGGGCAACGCCATTTCTAACTTACCTTTATTTGCACCAGAAATCACATGACCAGCAAAGGCTAGAAATGTTTTCTCTTCTTACACTTTACAGAACATGTTTGCTGGCCTGTGCTCTACAATGTATTCCATAGAATCAGATGTTTCCCCTTCTTTGTAGTATTTTCACAGCACGTGAAAATACCTCACACACACTGGACAGTGAGCAAACACTTCTCGAGTGACATGTTAAACATGAGTGTTAATCTAGAAAGGCACAGGTAGACTAGAAGAGTTATGGATTTTTGGTTGTACAATGAATAGTGCTTGTTTCCCTCTTATGACGATGTTTCTTTCTGCAAAAGATTCTTAGCAGTAAGGCAAATGTGTCTTCAGTACAATGTCTCACGATTTGCATCTGCCACTAAACCAAGAACATGACCGTTTGGACTTTACTGCTATTTGAATGCTGCTGTTAAGATTAGCTAGAGCCAGCCTGTGAGCTTTCACCTTCAGGGATCCTGTTAGAGTTTGCATATGAAGTCTCCCCACAAAAGGCTCATTTGGTCAATATTATTCCTTAGCTGGTGGTCTAGTCATTGACGGGTGATTAGATCATGAGTGCCCAGGCCTCATCAATGGCTGGAAGAACTAGATGTGCATTATAGGAAGATAGGACCTGGTTAGAGAAAGCAGATCACAGCACAGGGAGGGAAGGAGTCTTGGGAAAATATGCCTTGTTCCTTGTTCATTCCTATCTTCCTTTGGTTTCCTGGATGCCATAAGGGGGGCGGCTTCTGCCACATGCTCCTGCCCCCACAGCGCACTGCCTAGGGCTCACAACAATGGATCCAGACGACTTTAGCCTGAAACCTAGGAGATGGTGAGCAAACTAAAACTCCCTTTCTCTTGTACTTCTTCTCTAAGAATCCAGCATAGTAACTAACATGTCTGAAACTCTAGGACTGAAGCAGCAAATCTGAGGTTCAAATTCTGCGTGGGCTACACTCAAGCTGGGTAGCTTAGAAAGACCTTGTCTCCAAATAAAAACAAGAAATGGCAAGGGTGTGCTCAGTGGTGCAGCACATGTTTAAAATATGTGGACCGTGGGTTCAGTCCCCTGTGGCGTGAAGAAAGAAAAAGCCCTCACCTGTGCTCCAGAGATGAAAAGCTAACTAGTGTTGAGCTGCTTCCTTCTGTTTCAGTCTGAGGAAGTAAGTGTAGTCTAAGGGCCTGCTCATGTCCTGGCATGTGTGGATGCGTGGATCTTACACAACAGGTCATTGTCTGCCCAGTTTGTGGCCCATTGGCAACCTGGATCAATCAATTAAGTTCATCAGATCAGTTTATGACTTTGGCTCAGAGCTCAGTGCTGGCAAGCATGGGTTCCCCAGTTCCATTGATTATGTCAGTGAGTGGGTGCCCAGGGCACTAGAATAGAAACAATTAGGGACCCTAGAAAGAAATGCATATAAAAGATGTTTACAACATTGTCCTTATAAACCCAAACTTCAATTATACTTTCATCCGAGTTTGTTTCATGTAAAGGGAAATGCTTTTACGACATGTGTGTGTCCGTGTGTGTGTGTGTGTGTGTGTGTGAGAGAGAGAGAGAGAGAGAGAGAAAGAGAGAGAGAGATGTGTGTAGATGTGTGTGCATTAAAGATAGTTCATTCACTTGTCTAGAGTCATAAGTAATGTAAAAATGAATATAATCACTTACCCCTACAACCTTTGAGAATATTACAGCAAATGCTGGCTGCAAACCTCCATTTATTATGGCACAAAGTGTACCAACCACAAAATAAGGCCATTCGGTTGAATTCAACTTTAGGATCCGCCAGAAGGAAACCGGAGGCACATCTTCATCCTAGAAGACACGTGAATTACAAAAAGATAGTTTTATGTTTTTAAAAAACATCCTCACTCATTTCTCACTGTGGAGAGTTCTGGTGAGGCAGGGTCTCATGGATTTTAGGCTGGCTTCAATGTCTAATCTTCTTGCCTTCACCATCCAAGGGTTGGGCTTACAAGATGGGTACAAGTTTTTAAAATAACTTTTACCCTATTTTTATTCCTTATCAGTTGATGGATATTTGCCATCAAACACAATAACACATTATAGTGCCTATTTATTTATTTATTTATTTATTGCTTTTCGAGACAAGGTTTCTCTGTAATTTTTGGAACCTGTCGTGGAACTAGCTCTTGTAAAGCAGGCTGGCCTTAAACTCACAGAGATCTGCCTGCCTCTGCCTCCTGAGTGCTGGGATTAAAGATGTATCACCAATGCCTGGGTCCTCTTTACTTTTTAAGAAATGAATGATGCTTCCACAAATATTTAATTCTTGGCATTCAGCAGATGATAAGAATATTGACCAATAAGGATAACCATAATAGAAACAGTAATACTTAAACACCTCTCATAGTCTCTTCACAATCTATTTCTAAATATCTTGGTATTAAATTTTAATCTTACACCTAAACTAACTATAAAACATCACCATTTCAGGTTTTTAGAACACTGTGGAGAACAGATCAAAAAGATTATAAAAAAAATGTTGTTTTTCCCACTCCTTCAGTTTAAGCTCAGTCAACTAGGAGGGCTCAAGAGGAGGATTTGTAACATAATATTGCATCTTGGTCCATACCGGGGTCTCTTTGATACTAAGTTTCCTGTCTTGGTCGTGCTGCCCACGAACACTTCTGCGAGTTGATCTTCTTCTTATCAGACTGGATCCCGAATCTTTTGAAGACATGTCTAAATTATCAGTTTCATTTTTAGATTCATAAATGTCATTTCCTAGTTCAATTTCATTTCCTGCTGTCTAAAATAAATAAGAGATATGAATATGGAAATTAACCATTGAAAATAAATATCAAAAAATACTGAATTATTTAAATCAAAGGAAGAGGTAAAATTAGACTACTAGTCCTTCATGTATGATATGTTAGGAGAAAAAAAACCTAACATTAGTGATTTTTTGTGAATATGCTGAATTAAAAATGGCAAGCCTTCTGCGTATTTTCTCTGGTCATCTCTTCTCTGGGAATATATGGCTCAATCAACTTCGCGTTTAAACCAGTGTGTGAATAGAAACTCAAAAGAGATCGAAATGTTTTAGACTACTAATGAAACGTTACTTTTTAAATTTATCATTTTTTTGTACTAAGCCTTCAGAATTTGGTGTACATTTTCACCGTTCAATGTTTACAAAAACACGTGGCTAGTAACTATTAAGGTTAAATAGCTATCACACGTGGCTAATAAAGTGCATAGGTCAACTTAAATTTTTTTTCCCACTTTTCCTTAATTATGCTTCTTTGGTTCCTCTCTTTTGCAAAAGAGAAAAATTAAAGTAGTTCTGGATACTGTTATTTAAAATAGTAAGGCAGCAGCAGTCCATTCAGAAAGGAAACTGCAACATTCCAAGGGTCCTCAAGGCTAGACAGAACGAGGCAGTTCATGGAGATCTAAGTATAACCGGGCCCTAAGAGAAGCTTCCCTTTAAAGCCAGAGGAGAGCTTCATTGTGAATCTTGGACAGGTCCAAAACAGGGAGAAAGGCTGGAGTTTTCAGACCCTTTAGAAGTGGCAAGGACTTTTCTATCACATGACTTAGTTCAGCACAGTGGATGGGATAAGGTGCGTGGAGGAACCATGCACCTTAACTTGAGAATCATCAAGTTACAGTACAGTGCTTCTTTGTTTTTATTTGTTTACACGGTTTGTAATGGAAGGCCCTTTATCAAAAGAGACAAGCCACAAGATGAAAATGAAGGCAATGGAAAAATTCAACTTCTCACGGCCCATACAATTATCGCATCCTTAAAAAATAATTTTCAAAAGTATTGTATAAGGTATGTTGCAGGTTTGCATTACATTAACCAAGATTGTGCCAATTAATAATTCTGAATAAATTTATTTAGACGTGAGGCTTTAAAAATAATTTTTAATATAAATATATTTATCACCTACATATGTTTATTCTTGCACTTTGGGGTTCCGAAACAAGACTAGAGTATAGCTTACAGACTTATATTGCCATTGAAGTCTTTGCTGCCATAATTATTTTAGGTTTTATGTGTAAAAGAGTCATTGACAAAAAAAAAATTAAAAAAGAGTCCTTGATTTGTTCAGGGCTGGGGAAATGTCTGCAAAGTGTCTTGAGTTTGTTTATTAGAAAGGGATGCCTTGAAGATCTAGAAGTACAGCACTTCCTAACACTGTCCTCGAGAGAGCGAGGGGGTAATGTGGCCTGGGTTAAGCTGTGGGATCAGACCTATGGTACAGGCCCGTGTTCTAACAAATCCCAAAGTACTCTTCTCCTGTGTCCCAAAATTATACAATAAAGTAACACTTATCTACAGATTGAAAATATTGACACCAGTGTATGAACAAAATAAATTAGGGCGTTTTCCCGAGTTCCACTGTACCTGTGTCATGACAAGTTTGAAGTAAATACCCTTCTCTTTCATGAGCTCATCGTGATTTCCTTGCTCCACAATGACACCACCATCAAAGCCAGCAATGACATCAGCGTTGCGAACTGTAGACAAGCGGTGAGCTATCACAATGGTGGTCCGGCCTTCCCGAGCCTGGAGACACGGAAACCTGGCTTTCGAGTCATGAATAATTACAACAGAAAAGCAGTGCCTTTAATTCCAGCACTGGGGAGGCAGAGGCAGACAGATCTCGGAGTCTGAGGACAGTCTAGGTTCAGGGCAAGTTCCAGGACAGCAGGGGCTACACAGAGAAACCGTGTCTCGAAAAACCAGTCTGGACATTGTCACTGACATTGTATGGACCAGTAGGTCTCCAGCCCCATCACGCAGTGCACCCTCTCCCGGAGAAAGGGGCTTTGCAATTCCATAGTCTTCAAGTGGCATTAAGCGACTTCTATTTGTATCTTTCTTTTGGTTGACACCGAAAAACCAGATTAATAGGGCTATTTCTCTTTTCAGTTCCATAGTCTTCAAATGACATTAACTGATTGCTACTCGTATTTTCCTTTGGTTAACAAAACTGTAAATTCTCAAAACCAGATTAGTAGGGTTATTTCTCTAAATTTTCATGATCAAAACAAAGACTAATTTTTACTTGAGTCTCCATTTTCCATTTTTAATTAAATGATATTGACATGCCTTTTGATGAAAATTTATTTATTGTAATTAAGAGAGAGAGAGAGAGGAAGTGGGGCTGGAGAGATGGCAGTAGTTAAGAGTGCTTCTTACTCTTGCAGAGGTTCAGACCCAGCACTGCCATTTGGTGACTCATAACTGCCACTGACTCTATGTTCAGAAGATCTAACATCCTCTTCTCATGTGTTCACACACATGAAGACACAAACAGTGACATAGACATATAAATTAGAAAATAAGTCTTTTTTAAAAAAAAGATATAGAAGAAGCAGAAATTGAACAACAACAAAAAGATTTAGGAAGTCTGGTGCTTTTCCTTAGTAACAGGTATAGAAGCTATCAAAAGTATCTGTTTTAAGGCAAGATTAAGAAGAATGAACAATGGAATACTATTATTCTTATAATGCAGACCTTTCTAAGTATAGCTCACAGACCTTATCCAAAGCAGCCTGAACCACAGCTTCACTTTCTGTGTCCAAGGCTGACGTCGCCTCATCCAACAAAAGGATCTTGGGGTTGCGGACCAGGGCACGAGCAATGGCGATTCTCTGTTTCTGTCCCCCACTCAGCTGTGCCCCTCTCTCACCAACCAGGGTGTCAAATTTCTACAATTAAAACAATAAAACAAACAAAATAACAGGAAATGTAGTAATACAATAAACTACCTCAGTTCACGTTTCAAATTAGGGCGTAATCATCAATGGAGCCTCGCCAGCAACACAGTCCAGTTCTTGGCAACATGTATCTATCGCTAGTCGATAGGGTGAGAGATGGAAAATCCACAGTAAACTGGACTTCCCCTCTAAGGAAGTTCATCCAACTAACAGGAGTTTCCTGAGTTCACATGAGCCTCGGGGTGACAGAGGGCAGGCACAACTCACGTGGGGCAGTTTCATGATGAAGTCATAGGCGTTGGCTTCCTTGACTGCTCTCTCGATCTCATCCATGGTGACGTTCTCTCGGCCATAGCGAATGTTTTCAGCGATCGTGGTGGCAAACAACACAGGTTCCTGACTCACCACGCCGATGATTTCCCGCAGGTACCTCACATTGATGGTCCTGATGTCATGGCCGTCGATACTGACCTGAAACGGAATGTGTGGTCGTCACAGTTTAGAACCACGGAGTCAGAACGATGGGCAAGGGTAGCGCTGCTGGCTGCGCGACCACTCACCACGCCCTCTGTGGGGTCGTAGAGCCTCTGCAGCAGCTGGACAGTGGTGCTCTTCCCACAGCCGCTGTTGCCGACCAGGGCCACGGTCTGTCCGCTCTGCACCTTCAGGTTGAGGCCCTTCAAGATCTGCCAAGACAGGAGAGAAGCTGATGTTAGGGCAATTCCCAGGCAGAGATGTATTGGCTGGAGGAGCGGAAGGACCTCCCGCAACATGCATGTAGATTCTATCTGCTGGCATTTCAATTCGGTAGCATGCAGACTTTACAGATACGCTTTTCTCTACAACCAGTTAGAAACTATTAAGAACTTTTCACACAACAGAAAACTGTCACCATACCTGAACTTCTTTTCGAGACGGATAACTGAAGTGGATATTTCTGAATTCCAAATTTCCTTTAATGTTGTCTGGTTTGTGCCCGTTCGCTGAGAAGCTGTCAATACTGGGTTTCTATAGAGACGGAATTTGGCGGAGATCACTGAGCGACAGTAATGGCTACGTAAAGAACTTTTTGATTAGCTAAGATAAAGGGATAATCTCAACTGAATACTCCTTTATTAGCAGGCTAAGCTGGGTGGTCACACTCACGTTGTCAATTATCTTGAAGACTTCATAGGCGGCTCCTCTTGCGTTGGCGAAGGCCTCGATATTCGGAGACGCCTGGCCAATGCTGAACGCCCCAATTAATACCGAAAAGAAGACCTGAACATGGGAAGAAAAACCATCCTGTAACTTTGTTTGCCACAGTCCTCTCCTATTTCCTCTCTCCTCCAGTACAGCTAATTCTATTTCTAAATGTCAAGGCAATCTAAGAATACCAGGTGTTAAGAAAAATCTTAAATCTTCATCACTGTAAATTTCAAATATATCACCACCAAAATGTAAAGTGAAGAAACTGAGATTATTTAGCTTCATGTGATCACTTCACATTGTATACATGTCAAAACCTCACACTATATTCCCGAAAGATAATACATATTTTCAACTGAAAAGTATAAACATTGACAATGTGAGAAAGTTTTTTAAACTTTCCATAATTTCAGTTAGCCTACAATGCAGAATTAATCTCACCTTTTCAGTGAGGCAGCAACATACAAGCTCTGAGTATTACAATAAAACATTTTTCTATTTTTTCAATGACTAACAATTTTTATTTAGGTCATAAGGGCTGTGAAATGGAGAGCAAGTGAAGAGACCAAGGTGCACACCCTAAGTTAGTATTACCAGTTACACATCTGCAGGACATTCGGAAAGTTCAGTCTTCTATTTCATGGACAAAAACATAAAAGACTATTTGTTCTCTCCACAGTTGTTATCAGATGACACCGGCTGTGACAAGACTTTGTAGGTTACAAAGCACCGGCCAAGGGCTGATTCTTTATGGGGTCTCATCTCCCAAGTTTTGGAGTTACTTTAATAAAAATATTTGTCTGTAAGGGCTTAGCATTATTTACCTCTGTAAGAAGTTGACGGGAACTAACATCATCCATTTATTTCTAGATCATTCAGGAATTATTTTGCTCAATAATTTGGACGGAAGAGGCTTTTGCTAAGTGAGTCTGTATTCGTTTCTCTTTATAGTACTAACAAGCAGGTCACATGAATCCTGCCACACATTTGGCAGAAGGCGTAACAGAGGGTTGAAGAGCGTTAATGATTGCTCAAACCTTACAGTTAGTAGGTAGTGTAGTTGGAATTTGAACCTATTGGGTCTGATATCAAATCCTGCAGTCTCTGTTCTAAACGCTGTTTGTGAAACAGCTTTAGACTCCATGAATATGAGATTGAAAGTACTCCAAGAGATTTTGAGTATAAATCAACCTATACTTTTCTATGTGTGAATAGTGAATTAGAAAATAAAGGTAGAAAACTTTAGTAGCAAGTTTGATACAAAGAAAAAAATGTCATTAAATGAAAATTCAAGCTTCAGAAGTTGGTAATGTTGATATTTAGGGGTTGCAGTTCCAAACCCTACATTGCTATGTAAGAGATCTGGAACTTCAGATGAAAATGGCACTAAGGTTAATATTTAGGCCATAGTAGAAATTGTACAACAGATCTACAGGCAAATTTGATGCATTTCCTTTCAACTCTTTAACCTAATAATGCATATCTCTAGCATTTAACACTTATTCAAAGTATGCTTTTTTCAATACCACTCAGTTGCATTAGAACTTCTTTTTTGATTCATGTGTAACTTACAGTGAGCACTTGTCCAATAGAGTATTCTTTCGAGATGACCAAGGAAGTCCCATACCAGAATGCCAGAGCATATGATGCGTAGATAAGCAGAAAAGCTGCGCCTATGGAAATGTTGGCTGTGATAGCTTTCTTTATCCCAAGCTTTTTAGCGTCTTCTAAATTGTTATTGTACCTGGCAGAAAGAAGGGAAGTAATTATGTAGACTTATAAACCTTATGGAAATGTGTTAGTGTAACATGATTGCTATTGGTCAGTTGGAATGTGCCCAACCCTATAGGACACATGTATTTTCTCCACTACTGGCATTATGATATGTTATTCCTATTTTATCCTCTTCTTGTAGAAAGTGATATTGGGGTGTGTAGAGAGTATTTTTCTTGTGGAAGTCTTGTAAAAGTTCCTTCCTTCCTCCCTCCCTCCTTCCTTCCTTCCTTCCTTCCTTCCTTCCTTCCTTCCTTCCTTCCTTCCTTCTGTCTTTCTTTCCTTGGTTTTTAGAGACAGAGTTTCTCAGTGTAGCCTTTGGCTGTCCTGGAACTCACTCTGTAGACCAGACTGTCCTGGAACTCACAGAGATTCACCTGCCTCTGCCTCCAGAGTACTGGGATTAAAGGTGTGCACCACCACTGCCCAGTCTAAAAGTTCTTTTTATGTGAGCCTTAGAAACAGTGAAACCAGTAAAGCGATGTTTAGGTAGCTTCTAGAATGTATATTATTTTATACATAAGAGAGAAGACGCAAAAAACAATTATTTTTCATTCAAAATATATTTTTAAAAAATTAATTAATAAAAGATATTTAATGTTAAAAAATCCTAAACACAAGAAGATCATTTAAGACTCTACAATTTAGGGAAGCTTTTGGACAGATTGCTTCCTAAATTGTCTCCTTCTGGAATTACTGGAATGATCGATCACAGGATAACACATGTAAGGGCATATTGAAAGCTATGAAGTGCTCTATAATATTTTTACATTTAAATTACCTATAGAAATTTTCTTTCTCCCATAGCTGTTTTAAAACCATTGACCTATTAATTTGTTCTTTTTACTAGCATACTTTGCACATATTGCTTATGCATCCTTCCTATGAATGTCCCCTGTTGTGTAAGGAAACCTAGGATGGTAGGCTATAACATGTATCAAAGACAGAAAAAAAAAGCCTGTCAATAGCTTTGTAACCTGTTTATGGTGCAAACCTTAGAGAATACCTTAAGACAGAGGTTCTCAACCTTCCTCATGCTGCGATTTAGGGAACACATACAGATAGAAGAGGGAATAAACAAGCAATACTGTGTTTACATGGGTCTTTTTAAAGATTAGCTTGTAAATGAACGTGTCATAAGGCATAAAAACCATCCATTCATTAGAGGCTCTAGCAGGGAAATGATAATTAAAAATGAATGTGTAATTAACAAAACAGTGCCTAGAAAACATTCTCAATTATCATGAAGAAAGGTGTTAATTATGCAAGGAGCTATTTATATAATTGTGCAAGCAGCACTTTTGGTTAAGCAAACAAATCAGTACCAATGGAAAAAACATTTATAAGACACAAGTGAGGAAAAAACACGCATACAAACTTTGGGTATTCTGGGAGCATTCTTGGTCAAGGTCTTATTCACAGGCTCAGGCTGACCTGGAACTCGGGGTCTTCTTGTCTCAACTCCCCAAGTGCTAGGGTGATGGGCACAGGCCACCATACCCAGATAGAAAGCACTTTTTGAGAACAACACTGTCCTATTGAATTAAAGGCCTTCACAATTAGTTAAACTTTTATTACAAAAGAGATAAACTCCTTGTCACCAGTTATTTTGAAGAGAAAGGCAGCTAAAGACTGATGTTGAAAGCATATGAAGGAGAACTAGAAGGAAAATCTAACGATATATATGTTTGGTTTCATAATAATCGGTGGCCAGCAGCATGGCTGTTGCCTCCACACTTGCCAACCTGAGTTTGATTCATGCAACCCCACAGTGGAAGGAGAGAAGCAACGGCTGCAAGTTGTCCTGTAACTCTGGTGTGCACCCGTGCGTATGTACAAGCACATACCAGCTCACTCTGACATGCGCATCCCACAGGGAACGAATTGAAACGTAAAATGTAAAAAGTTTACAAAATCTTGTCAGTTCTAATTCTAAGTTCAATTCCAACTCCCAGATCTTCCCATCACCGTCTTGTCCCTACCTCTAGGTCAGTCAGGTTAACATAATCCCATTGCTGTCCGTGATCCCACCCTTTGAATGTTCTCATCTACTCACCAGGACTCGTTCAGACAGAGGAACAGATGTATAAACTCCTCAGATTCACACCTTAGGACAAGCCCATACCCTTGGAAGAAAATACCATCTCTTCTCTATAGCTCCCACCCCAATCGCCCTCTGCTGACATAAGCTTCAGGCTCACATGCATTGTAATATATCTCAAACTACACCAACGTTTTTGCCACCTCGGAGACTTTGGCAGACTATGCTTCCTGCCCATTCAACCCCTATCCCTGCTTTTGAAGACCTTTCGCACCTTAGGTCTTAACCTAGATAAAATCTCCTTCAAGAGGGATTCTCTGGCCACCATAGCTAAAATTTCCAACCTTAGAATAGTTGTTTGATCTTCTGGAATTTTAAAAACTATAATTAACACTCCTGTGAAGTGTACCTCTTCGACTCTCATTACACTTTGTGTCTAAATCACACACCCTCCAACTGCTCTACTAAACAGTTGTTCCTTTGTAGTTGTCTGTGCCCCCTTTCTCCTCTCACATGAATTTATACTTATGGGCTACATCTGACAGAATGTCATCCCTCGTTAAAGAAAACTTCCCATTTTACTTACCAATCATATTTTAAAGTAAAATAGAAAATCTTGCCCTAAACCAAGCAGATCATTGATATTGTCTTCTTTGAACTATGACCCTTAGCTAATACAAATTATCTTTGCAGAAGTGAAATACAGCATGCAAGGAAGGGTTCTCCTAACACATATGTACAGTGTAAAAGATGACTCTAGAGTGACTTCATATAAGAACAAGGTACAGCACTGTCTGAATTGGAAAGACGGGCCACATGCCCTAATCTTGCTGAACAACTTCCCTTGCTTCTTAGATATAGTCACTATTATGATTTACAAAACTTCCACATTTTCCTTTATAGCTTTATCACACAATATCTAACCTCCAAAACAATACAATTTAGTTTTTCTATTTTTAATTCACATATTCATAACATTAAAATAACACACCAAGAAATTATCATGATGTGGTAGTATCAAGTTTCAAAGATACTGTGCTGCTGCTAGTATATCAATGGATCTGATGAATATTGTTAATTTCAGTAAATTAGCATACTTTCAGAGATCTAGTAAATAGGAAAAGTTCTCAGAATATTAGGAAGCAGTTAATAAAAAGATTTTTAATTTTTGCACATTTTTGGATATTATTGGTCATAGTTCAACTATGCAGGAGCCTGAGCAAGAAAGACAACAGCTAAAAATGTTCTTACAGGGTCTAGAGAGACGACTCAGTAATCAAGTGTGCTTGCTATTCCTGCAGAGGAGCCAGGTTTGGTTTTTAGCACCTAAGTAAGGCAGCTCACAAACAGCTGTAACTCCAGTTCTGGGCACCCGAAGCCTTCTGCGGCCTCCATAGGCACTGGTGCACACACAAAAGTGGGGGCACACATATACACATAAATTTAAAAATGAATCTTAATTAGTTTTTGAAAATTGTCCCTACAGATCTTATGTAAAACAGTCATTTACCCTTTTTGTTTTTTCATGACAGGGTTTCTCTGTAGCTTTGGAGTCTGTCCTGAGACTAGCTTTGTAGACCAGGCTGGCCTGGAACTCACAAAGATTCATCTGCCTGCCTCTGCCTCCTGAGTGCTGGGATTAAAGATGTGTGTCACAATTGCCCAGCAACACTCATTTACTCTTAAGAGAATCCAGAATTAGTATAATGGGACAAATAATGATTATCAGAGACATAAAGCACATTTCAGCCTTAGGAAATTATTTCATGGCAATAACCATCTAGAAAATGTTAGAATATTCTTTGAATAGCAGCTATAAGAAGAATACAAGTACAATGGTGAGTTTTCTAGAATTTTACTGATGTCATTATATATATTATACACACACACACACACACACACACACACATATAT